AATAGGGGTTTCCCCTTTCATCTGGCAACAAAACAGGTGCTAAGTTGTTAAAACACCAAAGTGAAACCTTTTACAAGGAATCATGTCTGCATCAACCACAATACTTGTGGTCAAAATGCAAAAAAAAGCATACTCTGATAATATATGATGCATTGTCCTTGAAACTGATTGGTCCACACCAGAGAGCTTTCTTTTGAGCCTTGTCTCAAACGGTGTTAGACCAGCGGACGCCATGATTCCTTGTAAAAGGTTTCAGTTTGGTGTTTTGACAACTTAACACCTGTTTTGTTGCCAGATAAAAGGGGAAACCCCTATTATCATATTTTGGTACTGGCAAAATAGGTCCCATGATTTGTCTGTTTGTGTCGGTATGTATATACATTGGAAGTGCTTGTGTGTGTGTGGGTGGCCACGCGTGTACATGTCTGTGTGTTTTGTGGAGGGAACAGTGGCACACTCCGAATCAGTCAAGCGGTTTTTTTTTTTACGAAATCGGCTAAGAAAGGCGGCGTGGAAGAAGTTGTCTGGCGTGTTATTCCACACGTAGCCTCCCGAGTGTTTTATGGCCACAATCGCACACTCTCTTAATGTCTACAGTGATTTGTGGACCCCCCCTTCACGTGAACGCTTGCTCCGGCTTGAAACATTCAGGCTCGCCTGCCTATCGTCCATCCTAGGTTTAACCAGACAGGATTGTTTTGAGATCACACATCTTTGAAAGATGTGGAAACAGCCCCATCGGTGAGCTCCCCTGGCAGGCGTGGATCCGTTTGCCCTGCATACCCAGCCACCGCATGCCCCAGCATATTTAGTTTGGCAGGATAGAGGGGTTTCGACGGGTGCGGTTCGGTCTGGGGGAAATGGATTGCTGTGGTACTTGAGAAGGATTATGAAGGATGCTGCTGGACAATTGGTGGCAATCGCACACCAGTAACAACGGAGGGCATAGCAGCGATACAACAACGAGCAGACCGGGCGGATAAAACACAGCAAGGAGCACTGCCAATGATACCAGTTAACCTATAACATCTGGGTCTGTCCCACGACCTGCCAGCGAGCCTTCGACACTTCATTTTAACCTCAATGTGCACCTAGCCTGGCACGAGCACCGTAATGACGCCACTGTCACTAAGTGGCAAATAACGCTTACGTATGTGGGCGTGTCTGTACATACATTACAGGATGTCTATGTGTGTCTGTACATGTGCGTGATTGTGTAGGCACATGTGGATGTGTCAATGTGTGTACTTTTTGCATGCAGATATGCCTGTATGTACATGTGTGCACATATATATTTGCATTGGTTTGCATGGGATGTTAATAGGAATCAATGTTTTTATTCACATTTGTACGGAATGGCTTCACATGACCCCTCCAGCCACTAGCGGCTGGTACATTAACCTCAAGAATAAAAATGTGTTTTTTTAACATAATTGCAACCGCTAGAGGAATACCCTGGAGGCTGGGTATCGACTTTACCAATGCTGCGGACTTTAGCAGAAGGAAATAAGTGATGACAAGGTGTAATGTCATTAAACGGCATTGTCAGCGATTTCGTAGTTTTTTCCCTAATTTTATTCCGTTTGTGGTTTCAGCATCATGATATGAGACAAAGTGACCATCCGGGGGAGAGAGGGGGGGGGCGCAGACTGTTGTCTAATCACCACTGCCCACACCGGCCACACATAAGCGAATATATTCTTTCGGGAGGCTGGACTGTATTTTAGGACTCAAATTACGTTAAACTGATGGAATGTTGTAATTTTTAAAATAAATCAGTGCCCAAAAATGAGAGCGCACAACATTAATACGAGCAGACTACGTGGTGGGTAGTATGACACGTCTCAGGGCAGGGGTTCTCACACCGTGCCTCTTGCTCGTGGTGATCCTGCGCTGTCTCATGGTTTGGATATTAAATAGCTAAATGAATTACATTGCACGGGTTCATCGATCGTGCCAGTCTTCCACGGGTGGTATTGGTGATGACGCCTGCACTTTCTCGCCGAATCCAGCTTAGAGAGGTTATAACTGCGTGGGCTGCTTTTAAATTACTGTATGAGCTCTGTTTCAAAGGGAGTTGGTAAAAGGCCTGATGTTAGCCCGAGGGCTTCCACCTCAAGGAACTGTCCCTGAATGAGGAGTAAAGGGGGGAAGGGGGTGGGGATAATACATTATTGTTCATTTGGGGGGGGGGGGCCTTGATCCCGACCAATGCTTCCTGTATAATCGCCACTGCCTACACTCCACGTGGTACTCACGTTAGGGTTACTCGACCACACAATGTATTAAAATCAAAGTGTCTCCATGCTCATGTTAGTTGTCAGCCCTGTGCCAGCGATGGGAATTCCATATTCCCACACCGGGGGGGGGGGGTCAGTAATTTCATTGGACAAGTACTTTTAATTTCCCACAAAGTAGTACTCTATTTTTTTCTGCTTATGACACATTCATGAGAAACATGGACACTGGCAAAGAAAATGGAATAGCAGCTAAAATGTGCACAAAGGAGCGTGGAGGAGTGGATGCTGAGAAATTACGAGACAAACACAGGAACACATACAACTTCGAGTCAGCCCATAATGTTGACTGTTAAGAAAAGTCAGTGGGCTTGGGCATGACACGTGGCCGGCGATTGAGTCTAACGACGAAGTGGCAACCCAAGGAGGAAAACAAGGGCGCGAGGATGTCCACTAGGGAGATCGTGCAAAATTAAATCGGCTCGTGTGCAGTTGCGAGATGGTTGCATTTGCGTGACCGCGATGGATGGTTGCGCCTTGTGAAGGCCTTCACCCACCTGCAAATAGAGCGTGGTTGATGAAGATAATGAGATCAATGTGGGATTATTCCAATGAGCACGCACCAGCGCTTTCACGTGGACAAGCTCTGGAAAGAGCCCAGCGGGGTGCTGTGAGGGGCGGGGCTGCAAGGGAATGTGGTCTAATTTGTAACTTTACCCCCCACCCCGCCCCGCCTGCTACACGGCCAAACATTTGATCTAAACAAGAACCAACATTGACACATGGCTAATCTCTGTGACCCCCACAATCTACAGCGCTGTCCTCCCTTTCGTGACATCTCTCTCTCTCTCTTTAAACTCACATTCATATCTCTTGACATCTATCTCTCGAGTCTCTCGTCTCATTTTCCCATTTTCCATTTCATCTCCCTGCCATCTCCTCTCCTTGCCATCTCCCCAAATGTTCTCTTATCTGTATGTTGAACGTCCTTCGCACCGTAAGTAGCCAACCGTGTTAATCGGAGGTGTGGGTGAAGGACAACAAACTAAACACAAATAAGTTCTAAAGAAAGGAGTTTTCAATCTAGATTTAAAATTGCATATAGCTCCAGTGGCTTCCTAACATCGAAAGGAAGAGCGTTCCAGACGGCCGCAGAAGCGATACTGAAAGCGTGCGATGCAGTCAGTGACCCGTCTTTGTTCAAATGCTCGCCAAAAAGCCGCTGCTATGAGGATGAGCGGAGTTCCCACGGATGCCTCTGCCCTCTCGGTATATAGTACACATCGATGTCGTGGGTGTACGCTCTAATACGTTAGATCTCTGCGATTTGGGCGGAATAAATGGTAATTAGTTGCCGTGCGTGGCCTCTCGATTCGTGGTTCGGGAGGGGGAGGGTTCGGGTTCACTGGCTCGACGTGTAGCGGTCATTCGCAACGCGCTCGGTTGTCCATCCCACCTCCTGAGCGAGATCTGAGTTGCGATCTACGCCAACAGTGGGCGGAATCCGGCTGACGGTGGTGATGCAGAGGAGCAACTTTGAATTCACATTGAGGTGGTTGAGCCAGACAATTGCGGGCCAATGATCTGGCGGTACAGCCAGAAACATGCGTTTAGATTCCTCTTCTTTGGTTCTTTCGGTAAAGTCACGTAGAATGAGAATAAAATAATAAATTGATAAAATAAAATAACACAATAATATTCTCACGACGTTTCGGCCACAACACAAGCGGCCTTCATCAGGTGAAGGGAGCGAGACTGTCTGGTAGGACAGCGCTGGAGTGAGAGAGCCACGTTCAGATCACGGCTTTTAAGCTGTGTGAGAGGAACAAAGAGCCTTGACGAAGGAATTAGCATAAAATTTAGCATTGAAATAGCTAAATTAAGGCATACACATCCGCAGAGGCACCCCTTGATAATGGGATTAGCATAGAATTTAGCTATTTCAATGCTAAATTCTATGCTAATTCCTTTTAACAATGGGTGCCTCTGCGGATGTGTATGCTTTAACTTTTAACATAGCTATTTCTGTGACCAGTCACAAGCTAATCATTCAGCCATTTCAATGCTAAATTTTATGCTAATTCCTTCGTCAAGGCTCTTTGTTCCTCTCACACAGCTTAAAAGCCGTGATCTGAACGTGGCTCTCTCACTCCAGCGCTGTCCTACCAGACAGTCTCGCTCCCTTCACCTGATGAAGGCCGCTTGTGTTGTGGCCGAAACGTCGTGAGAATATTATTGTGTTATTTTATTTTATCAATTTATTATTTTATTCTCATTCTACGTGACTTTACCGAAAGAACCAAAGAAGATGAATCATTGCAGTCACGAAAGCTTTAAATCGAAAAATGCGTTTAGATTATTTCGATTAATCTTCATTTGAAGCTTTTGTGACTGCAAAAATCTATAATCTTTGGTTCTTTCGGTAAAGTCACGTCGGTAGAAAATTTAAATAAAATACAAAATAATATATCACGACCTTTTCGATCGCAACACAAGCGGTCGCTCTCAGGCGGAAAAAAAAGTATTAGATTAATAATGGGGGGTTTTCCCCCTTTTTTCTGGCAACAAAACTGCAACCTTTTGCAAGGAATCATGTTTACATTAACCACAATACTTGCAGCCAGAACGCAAACAAAAAAAACAACACTGAGCTTTATAGCTCATCGGATTCCTCCGGTACAGTATAAATATTGATTCTGAAAAAGCCGCCATGCACGTGAATCGCGGCCCCCCGATGTCAACCTCTGTCCCTTCGTTATCTCTGTCTGCGTCTCTCTCCTACCCTAACCCCCCCGTGCCACAACCACCCACACCCTGTGCCTCGTCACCCACCCTCAAACTCCCATATCCACCAGCCCTCCGCCCGCAAACTCACCGTCCACCACGATTCCTCACCGCGTGAGCAAACAAGATCAAGGACTCCTCCCTTCCACCGCGGAGGCACTGGGAAGCAACCACCATAACCACCACAATTACTACCACAGCCATTGATGGACCCAGAGATAAGGAAGGAAAAGGGGGGTTGAAAGGTTACGGAGCCTGCCTTGAGTGAAAGACTGCAGGGGAGAGAGTGAGGGAGTTGGTTAGTGAATTTGTGAGGTTTAGGTTTAGTGGGGGGACGAGGTGTAACAGGTAGTGGGGAGAGAGTTGCCGGAGTGCGTAACGGAGCCCTCCGCCGCCGCCGCTGCCGCTACCGCCGCCGCCGTCGTCGTGATGAGGTGGTCAATCGTCGTGGTGAGGTGGTCAGTCGTCGCTGTTGTTTTCCTGTGTGCCTTGGGGAATAGCGCCGAGGCAAAAAAGAAGGTAACCGTGCACACGTCAGCACAATCAACACGCTGCACATGTACGCATGCACTTTGTTGAACATCTTTCGCACCGGACGTGGCCACCCGTGCTAATCGGAGATGCGGGGGAAGGACAACAAACTAAACACACAAAAGGCAATTCTAAATAAATTAGTTTTCAATATAGATGATTTAAAAGTGCATAGCTCCAGTGGCATCCTAATATCGTAAGGAAGAGCGTTCCAGAGGCCCGCAGAAGGGCATCACCATCAGCAGCAGCGACAGAAGCAATAATGTGATCAACAGCATCGTCAGAACTATGATCGTTATCTCGACTATCCATAACAATAATCATCTCGAATATCCATGATCAATTAGAATAAACCGCATCGTGAGTGACAGAAACGCAATTTTGATCGTGAGTTTCAGAAGCAACAGCAGCACTGGAATCAACGTCAGTGGCATGATCCATTATTGGCCGTAGCAGCACCCCGTCAATAACATCAGGAACATCGCAATGGTCATCGCAATATTGATCCAGGAAAGCTTCACCGAGTCCCGATACTCGTTTTTTTCTCCCAGAGGGTGCTGCTGCATCGTCGGGCATTTTGGCCTGTTCCGTTTCTAAAGTGGTGCGTAGCTTCATGTGAGTAAAAGGGGGGAAACGTGGAGAAAAGCCGCCACATCGCGTACTCGGCACTGCCAACCACGTGGCCACCTCCCAGCCCCATGCCTACAACACCTGGCAAGCCCTGGTGGTAGTCACCCATCAAGTTACTCACCAGGCACAAGACTGCTTGGCTTTCATAATCAGACAATGTCGCGCTCAGAGATCGAGTCATGTAGCCGTAGCCAATACGTTTAAAATGTGATCGTAGTTAATACTACTTGAGTTGATTAGGGTACTGTTACGAGATGTCACCATTTAAAGAATCTCTTGGTGGAGTGGTGGGGAGTGGAGCGGTGGCGCTGCGGTTAGCGCATTGCACTATGAACGTAGCGACCCGAGTTCGCTTCCTGGCCATGGCTGGCACGTTCGCGAGCAATACCTAAACCGGTTCTTTGTCCACCAACTTCACCAACTCGCACTGAGCGGCGTGGTGAAGTATAATCCAACCCCCACCATGGGCGTGATGGTTTGACAAAAGAGCCCAGATGAACAAAAAAACATTATTAAAAAAAAAGAGGCTGGTAGATAATATAGTCTCATCATGGAGCTGGTTTGATGTGCTATCATCAATTCAGCCAAAACGAACGGGAACATTTTGATTTAAAGCTTTCGTGACTGCAGTGATTCATATTCTTGGTTCTTTCGGTAAAGTCACTGCAACACAAGCAGTCATTTCCCTTCAACGTGACTTTACCGAAAGAACCAAGAATATGAACGGGAACATGTTAGCGCATTTGTAATGAACCTCTGGTACCAGTGGCCAACCGAGTTATATACTGTTTTGTGGCATTGACCATCATGTGCAGTCCCCGTTGCTTATCATGCGGATTGGTGGTAATGATGATACTTCTGCTACTTGTGATTTTTAAACTTCGCTCAAACTGCAAATCGCAAATAATCATTGCAGAAGCATCATGAACCCAATAGGTGCTCGCTAACTGCGGCAGCGAGCCAGTGCCAGGAGTCTAACTGGGTTGGGTGTGTGTGTGGACAGGAAAAGGAGAACAAGAATGCAGGAAGGAAACGGCAAAGACAAAGGGGTGAGACTCGGGCCACGGGGTCATGAAGTCATTGGGGCAGGGGTCATCTGTGAGACTCTGGGGTCACTGGATTCATTAGAGCACCTGCAGACACCTAGGGTCAGAGTCACTGTTGCTTCTGCATCTCCATCAGCCATACGACAGAAGAAGAAGTGTGCATGTGTCAGTGTGTTTGTGTGTAAATGTGTGTGTAATTGTGCAAGCGTGTGCGCGTGTTTAAGTGCGTGCACGTGTGTCTTTGTGTGTCAGCCTGTGTGGGGAACAGTAGTGCAGCAGTGAGCGCGCTGCACTCTTGAACCCGGTGGTCCGAGTTCGATTCACGGCCACCAACAGCAGTGACTTATCTGAATTTGTCCTGGGCCTTCCCTAGGTCGACTCAGCCTCAAATGAGAACCTGATGCGATGTGTAGACATCACCACTTGGGAGACAAAGGCGGGTGGGTGTGGTGTTGCCCCCCCCCCCCCCCCTTGTACCGTGCCGGCCTTCATGGGTGCCCGCTAACCTCACTTTCCCCAAAAGTCCGTGAAGGCTACACGGGGGATCTTTGTCTTGTCGTGTGAGTCTGTGAGCGAGTGTGCCGGCACGCGTGTTGTCTGCAGTGTTCGTGTCGGGTGGAACGGCTCGCCATGGAGCTCGTTGCCGCTTTCCATTCTCGCACAAAGGAGTCGACTACCAGGAGTGTGTGCCAGACGGGCAGGGAAAAACCTGGTGTGGACTCACACACACGCACTCAGAGATACGCCACACGCACACCCCGACACACTCTGTGACACACTCACACACTCTGTGACACACTCACACACTCTGTGACACACTCACATCCTTCCATGCTCACAGCGGCTTCAATAGATGCTCGCTAACACTTTAATAGATGCTCGCTAACGCGCACAGACGCACTCACAAACACTCCACACTCCGAAACACGCTCACTCACACACTCTGTGACACACTCACACCCTTCCATGCTCACAGCGGCTTCAATAGATGCTCACTAACAGCGTTCGCCTTAAACATTCTGTGTGATCTACATGTGGGATCTTTGTCATTTTCCGCGTGCGTGTATAGGTGTGCAACGACACATGAACTGGACAAAGATGGGAAATGGGGTTACTGCCCCACAGAAGAGTGTAACACACACACACACAAAATCACGCACACAGTTATACATCATCATGGTCACACACAAACAAAGTTGTAGGGAAGTACAACAAAATCCATGAGCTGCTATGTGGCGATGACGCTTCTGTAACCCTTGTGCCAGGCTAGGTTTTGTGGTAGGTCACAGGAGAGACATCTGTGGTATAGGTCAACTGAGATAACTGGCAGATGCACCACCGATGCTACCCACTACGCCACCTTGCTGTGTTTAGCCTACCAGCGCCCTGCTCGTTGTTGTGAGCGTCGCTCATCTGCCCTCTCTCCACTGTTATTAAAGGGCGACTACCTTCAACTGCCCAGTAGCGTCCTTCACATGCCTCCTCCGTAGATGCTGATCGAGTATGAATCTACCAATATAAAACTGCGATAAAATGTAAATCCGTATGGTAACTTAAAACGATGTAAAATACCTAAACTCATTGATCTTAAACAATGGCGGGTTTCCAAGAGTATCCAGCCAGTGGGAACAAATGACGTCTTGCATGCAGAGCATCCGTTGATTTTGTTTTAATTCGCTTGCAGTTACGAGCTAGTTAAGATACCTCACAAAATGGACAATTGGTTCAAATATTGATGCTCATTATTCCTACATTCATTTCTCAGAACCAGGCTGGGCCAGGCAAGGGGGTTGCTCGGTGGAAACAAAATTCAACAAGGGGTACAGTGGCCAAAAAAGGGTTGAGGCCACCCCTGTGCTCGATGACTGTATTTGTTGTGGCAGCGGTGGTCACAGTGTAATTATTGTTGCTGATGTGGTCATAGAGGACCAACTCGTGGGTTTCGAGCAACGTGCCGAACAAACGCACGCCTACTGGCATATTGCCCGGCTTCCATCTTCCACAGAAGCAATGGCCAGCGCTTAACCGGATCTCCACAAACGACGAAAGAAAATGCGGATATCTAATGGACAAGTGGAAATCAAAGGCTCTGTCTACTGTGACTACAACTGCAACCCTGGACTGTAGAACTTCGCACTGCCCACAAATATAAGTTGAAGGCGGTGTATCTGCGGTTCACTGACTTTCAGACAAAGCAATTGATTGGCTACATCACTTACAACCTCGAATGGTTGTTATTCATAGGCCATACGACAGAAGAATAAAGACCTGTGATTGTTCTGGTGGTGGAGTTGTTATGGATGAGTCACTGTTGTTGCGTAGAAGTCTGTCATTTTTTGGTTGTGTAGTTGTAGAGGATTGTTATTGTGCTTTTGTTTAAAACAGTGACAGAGTACAATTTGGATGAAGAGGAGTCTGTGTCCTATGAAACAGATGTCAACTCCGAGCAAAACTACGACTACTGGAACATCAATGACCGAATCGGTGAGGTCATAGGGTCAGGGGATCACGAGGAAAAGGGTCACAGGATGATGGGTCATGGGAAAACAAGATCACATAGGGTTACACTCCTATTCAAACAATAATTTCAACTTGTAGTGCACACAGAGAGAAAGACTAAGAGGTGCGAGTAACCACAGATAAGCAGGAAGGCAGCCATGCGATGAGCCATCACCAACAGTGTTATCGGTCAATGAATGAGTATTTACACGTGGAACGAATCCATAGCGCCTAAGGAATATCCATGTGTGCGATGGGGAAAGACTATATCCCATACAGACGATAACAGGTAGAGTACACATTTGTGCTGTACTATATGCTCGTGGTAAGCCAGGGTATGGCACTTCGACGCAACTACCAATGTAAAGTATATGTGTGCCCTCGAAATAATGTGAGTGGACATTCCATGTTCCGTGTATGTGTGTGTGCAGACCCATGCAACATGAACCCATGCCAAAACGGTGCCAAGTGCAATGCCGTGGGCTCTAGGTTCACGTGCAAATGTCACCTACCGTTCCATGGGACTTTATGCGAGAAAGGTGGCACGCACACCCACAGAGCGCACTGCACACCACGACACTACCACATAGCGCAGCACGACAACCATAATACACCACCCCACACACCGCGACACACCCACAAAAAACGCCGCAACAGCGTAACAAGCACACACCGCCACACAGCACCCTAACATGCCCATGCCACGCACCACAACACACCCACATAGCATAACACAAAACACTCCACACAACTTACACTCACACCACCAGAACACACCCGCGTACACATCTGCAACACACAAAACGCACTCCACACCACTCCACAAAAAAGCCGGGAGCCTTTTAGGCCGAGGCGTCAAGGGCAAAAAAACCCTTTCCCGTTCTGATTTCCGAACGGAATCAGAACATAAAAGGCCATGTGGGAGGGCGTGTAGCATAGTTTAGCGCCAGATATCAGAGTGCGGTTGTGTCCCTACAGTTATCTGCGGTGAGTACAGAACAATGTCTTTAAAAACAGCAGCGCTACGCCTCTCTAAATAAAATTAACGCTAACCGTTCTCAGAACGGGAAAGGGTAAAGAGAGACTGGATCCTCTAGGCTGAGGCCAGTCAAGCTTGGTGCCTCTGTAGTGTTTATAAAGACGAGTAAACTTCTTAGGAGGCACACTCTGTTTATTGTTATCCTTTCCTCATACAATCCTTAACACACAAACAGAGGGGTATCCGGTCCCCTCACCCGATACCCTAAGGAGGTACAGCCTCCGGACTCAGCGTAACCTACACACAGGTCTCCTTGATACCTAAGGAGGTACAGCCTCCTAGCTTTGCGGGACTTACACATCTACCGCTATTCTAGAGTCCTCCGGCTGGGACCTAGGGGAGGCTATCTGACCCACCGCTGGCCCGGTGGGTCCTGATCATTGGGTACCCGAGCCTTAGCCCTCAGAAGGGCTGGAAGGCTGGTCCAGGGTCCTAGCTAGTCTTCAGCCCGGGTTTCGGTCTTCGTGTAGGGAGAGAACTCCCCGCGCTCTGCGTGGTCACCCTTCTTATACTCGTTTGTGGCCAGGTAGAACCAATCACACATTCCTACGTGGAACTGGCTGATTGGTTCTTACCAAACCGTGGCTACGATCCACTTCACCTCGTCTGACCCCAACCGTTATGTACCCAGAGGTAACGCTGCACTGCCCCTTTGATACCTGGTGGCAATGCAGGTTACCGAACAGTGCGTAGTTAACGCCTCTACACCTCTAACACGTGTACAATCACTGAAAGGCATATCATATTTTGTTAATTACACCACAGCCAAATAAGCGGCTTTGACGGCTGTATTGTTTGAAATACATACCAGTCAACCCGTACGGTTTACCTGTATTCTTGTACAGGGAAATTTAGTTTTCAGGTCCATACGGCGGTACAGCCGTTTTAATACGGGCAAAAACATGTGTGTTTCTCCCTTGTGATGGGACTTTGTAGGATGAACGCTGAGATTTATAATGGCACAGGATGACCGATAAGGTTTGAACTGGTCTGTAATAAGGTAGAGAGAGGGCACTGATAAGGGGTTGACAGTTGTATGAAAATGCAATACGGATAGAAAAAAACGCACAAATCGACACACGCTGCAAATGCTGCCAGAGCTCCGGCTCCCACCGGCACTCACCGATTGGCTGGCCACGGAACGTGCGCCCAATTGGGGAAACACGGGGCGGGACAAAGGGTGGTGGTCTTCAGGGCGATTAGCGGAGAGGATTTTGAGTGAAAGGACCGCCAAAACTCAAAAGGGGGAAAAGTGGTGTCGTTCCGAGGGCGGTTAGGGTCACCGGGATACGATTGGTGGTTAACGTGGGAACGGTTAGGAAGGGTTTGAGGATACAAGGGATGGGCGCCTCAGTGCAAGCTCCCTACGACTACATGGTTCTTCTGCGTTGGTGAATAAATCAGGTCACGGTAAACGTACGCATCGTACTTGACTCCTCTGCGCACGTAAGCCGAGTTCAATCCCAACACGTGTATGTCGGTGCACGTCCTACGCCTGAAACATGCTCTGGCAGTAAAGGCGCCTCCCATGCCCCTGCCCTCCCTGCGTTTCTCCCGCGTGCCTCTCAGTGTGGGACCCTTGCCGTAACGTACGGTGCCGGAATGGTGGAGTGTGTCTCGTGTCTCCCTCGTCCCTGAACACCTTCACCTGCGACTGCATCCACCCCTTCTCCGGGCGTCGTTGTGAGACAGGTCAGGGTGACACGTGGCATCGACGAGGCGTGCGCACGTGCACACGCGCGCGCACGTGCGCGTTAGAGATGTGGTTGGGGGGGGGGGGGGGTGTAGCGGTTAGCGCGCTACGCTACGAAACCCGATGACCCGAGTTCAAATCCTGCTCATGGCCAACACACCGGTGACGGTTATCTGAACTGGTCCTGGGCCTCTCCCCTAGGTCAAATGAGTACCTGGTGTGGTCGGATGTGGGTGATGGCCACCCACCCACTCGTGTACCATGCCGGCCTTCGTAGGTGCTCGCTAACAGCACTTGCCATAACAATCTGTTAAAGCTATATGGGGGTGGTCTTTGTCTTTCTAGGAATGGCACCCATTTTTGGGTGAATCTTACAAAAATGTGAAAACTGGCATAGCTACGAAAATTTCAGACAATCGAGAAAAGAAACATGATCTTGCATTGATCCAAAACTGCGATACCACGAGAAGTGAAACTTACTTCTGTGACGACTTTCCTCGATCGTGGGGTGGCAGGGTCGCGCAGTGGTAACACTCGTGCCTCGCAGCAAAGACGGCCTCGAGTTCGACGTCCAACTCAGATGCCTTTCTGTGTGGACTGTGTTCTCTCCCCTGTTCTACATGGGTTTCCTCCGGTTTCTCACATAGCTATCAATACAACTGCTATTTGGGGAAACATCCCAATGCCGACTTAATTACCAGATAAATTGCTCAATTGGGATTACACGTCGCAACATCGCCGCCAACTGCAAACACATGGCAGGACCCTCCTGAAAAGGGCATTGAGACTCGGTGATGAATTTCCTGGCTAAACGATAAACGAGCGGAATAATAATCACTTGACGTCTTTTAGATGAGCGGTGATGTAATATAAAAATGGCTTCGAGTAGAAATATCGTTTTACCGATATAACTTTTCGTCAAAAAATCTAATTCGTTATATATCAACATTGAAACAATACTATTAAATGCATAACCAATGAAAGTCGTTGTGTATGCACTCAACTCAATGTTTTCCCATGAAATTACGGTAATTCCAAAACCATCATCCCAATGAATATTTGTGTGAAAACTGTTTTCAGTCTGCAAATAAATAACCATTAAAGGTAGATGATCGCCCTGTTTTCCTCGCCTAGGGGGTCGTCAAATCCAGATTTGAAGCGGCCCATGCTTTTTATGTATATTGAACTTTCGCACCGTACGTAGCGAATCGTGCTAATCGGAGGTGCGAGGGAGTCGACAACAAACTAAACACAAAGCAGGAAATAAATTAGTTTTCAATCTAGATTTAGTGCATAGCTCCAGTGCCTTCCTAATATCGGAAGGGTGTTCCAGATGGCCGCAGAAGCGCATCTGAAAGCGCGCGGCGATGCAGCGACCGTCTTTGTTCGATCGCTAGCCAAGAGCCGCTGCTGTGAGGATGCCCGGAGTTTGCGTGCTGATGGTTTATGGTCCTGGGCGAGATCAGCAAGGTATCGTGGTTCATTTGTGGCAAGCACTGTGATGCAATGAGTGCGACCTTATAATGTATTCGTTCAGCAACCGAAAGACTGAATGTGTGATATCATATACTAATTCATATGCCACGTTCGACAGCGGGGCCAGTGTGCGCCGTGAACCCGTGCGAGAACGGGGGGCAGTGCTCAGCAGAGGTGGACAGCGACCAGAAGTTCACCTGTAGCTGCCCCCCAGGGTTCACCGGACCCAAGTGCCAGATCAGTACGCTCACCCCAAACGCTGACTCGCCACAACGACTCACCCCAACACAACGCATTCGCTCGCACCCAAACACAACACTCGCCTAGCCCAACACTCACTCACGCCACTCACTCCCCAGCACTCGCCCACGTATACGCTCGAAACCGCAACGCAACCCTCGCCTTCAACAATTCACCTCGAAACTCTTCTGCCGCGCCACAGACGAGCGCGCGAGTGTGCATGTGTGTGTGTGGAGGGAGGAGCGGTAACTCCCGCCGCGTGTTGTGCGGCAGATGAGAGGGACTGCGTGGAGGGAGCCGGCGCGTCCTACCGGGGCCCCGCGTCGCTCACATTGTCCGGCCGCCGCTGCCTGCGCTGGGACACGGCGGAGCTGCTCAAGGAGCCGTACAGCGCCCACCGCCCAGAGGCCGCGCAGTGGGGGGTCGGCGAGCACAACTACTGCAGGTGTCGCAGTAAACGGGGGGGGGGGGGGCGAACCCGCGCGCACTTCCAGCTGAACGCGCGACAAAGACGCGCGCGGGGGAGCCCGGGCGGACTTGTGGGGGCGGGCGCTGCGAGCGAGCACCCGAGTGGGGGCCCGCGAGGCGCACGCGGTGGTGGGTGGGTGGTCAATACCACGCTCGGCCGCCTTTGGGGCCGTCCATAAGTGACGTCACGTACCTGGGGGAGGGGTCAGACATTTGTGACGATGTGTGACGAGGGGGGTGGGGGGGGGGTGAGAAATGTGACGTCACATCAAAATGCGCAACTTTAAATAAATATAGACAACACGTTCTACTTCATTAAATAGACTTTTAAATAAATGTTTTCTCCTACAACATCAGAGTGCAGCGCCACATTAAATACGCAACTACAATGACAATAGTTTAAAGCGATTTCAAGCATGTTTTATTGGGGGGGGGGGGGGGGGCAGAGCTTTGTGACGTCATATTTGAGGGCGGATCTGACTCTTTGTGACGCCGTGTGACGAGGGGGGGGGGGGGGTCAAAAATCGTCCGAAATCGCGTTACGTCATTTATGGACGTCCCCTTTGTCTCCCAAGTGACAATGTTTACACATCGCACCAGGTACTAATTTTAGGCTGAGTTGACCTAGGGGAGGCCCTGGACTGGTTCAGACAATAGTGAGCAGGAATCGAACTCGGGTCACTGAGTTCCTAGCACAGCGCACGAACCACTACCACCTACAGAACCATTGCCGGTGCATGAACGCGACCACTATCACACCACCGCTCTCGACGATTGTCACGTTCTGTTTACATGACAAACCTTACTAATTGGCTGTCGGGTGGCTGCGGGTTTAACGCCACATTTATATTTACGCGATCTAATAAAGAAAATACTATATTATACTGGTAGGAACCTCCTGGTTACACCAGCCCACAGGGGATTATTGTGTCCATCCGTCCGTCGTGCATTCAAAAATGGGGAGGGGTGAGGCTGGGTAGAGAGGGGAGGGTGGGGGGGGCTGGGTGGGGAGGGTGGGGCTGGGTGGGGGGTGGGAGGGGAGGGGCTGGTTACCCCGTGGTGCCCTTTTAAAACTCAATGTTTAACCTACTCACGCCGGCTTGTGCCCGCCATCAGTCAGGCATATTTGCAGAATACACCACGTGGTGCCGCCGTTGACCCTGGCCATTGACGAAGCAACCCAACGTTACTACCAGCTCCCTCCGCAGGAATGTGTTTGATGATACGAATCGTTGGTAGTGACAAAGCTATGTCTCTGTGGCACACCACAGCCACCACCATCACAAAAATGGGTGTAGAGTCAAGTAAATCAATGTATGAGGAAAGAAAAATGAATGGGAAAGGAAAGAGATGCCGGGACGGAAGTCGTCACGATGGACAAAGATGGGCACTGCTCAAGACGAGCAGCAGGAAGGAGCACTGGCGGACAGGAATTGACAGGAGAGGAAGAATGACCAGTTCATGATGTCAGGGAGGAGAGGGGAGGGAAAGTAAGGAGAGGGAGAGAGAGGAGCAGAAAATAATACATTGCAGTGTGCGCTTTCACAGGAGGTGGGGATAGGGCAGGGGGGTTTCAGAGATGGGGTGGCCAAACAAGTCACATGATTTTTGGGGGCTTGAGCTGATATATAAATGTTGGTAGTGATTGCGACATTTAAAGTGACATTGGCAGTGATGAGTCAGCATTAAAGTGACGTCGAGAGTGATCATGGCATTGTTTTAAAATGGTGGTGATTGTGCAGGAACCCAGATGGAGACACGAAGCCTTGGTGCTACACCTTCAATGACCGTGGAGTCAAGGCCTGGGAATACTGTCAGCTGCCTGTGTGTGCTGATAAAGGTGTGAACACCACCCCAACCATAGCATTCTCAGTGTCCTAAACGGCCACATCTCAAATGCTTCGATCGTTCGGATCGTTTCTTCTTTTCCAGCCTCACATCACTACGGTCCCACCCACCACATGGGGGATTGTCTGTGCAGTTTTTAAAATGTTTTTACTTCAACTCAATGCGAGCCCGGTACACATCACTGATCACAGAAAAGGGGGGGGGGGGGGCTACGGCAGAACTTGCTGAAGAGGGGTGGATTGGGCTCGTGCGAGCCGTGAGCCACTCACGTTTGTAGCGTCCCTCCCTGTATAATGCCGCTCTCTCCTTCCAGTCCAGGATAAGCCACAGCAACAGAGACCCAGGCCTAAACCACCTCAACCTCAACCACAGCCTCAACCACAGCCTCAACCACAACCTCAACCACAGCCTGGAACAGAGTTCAGCACATGCGGACTGCCTGAAGTTCAGGTGTGGACATTTATCGTGCACCCAGAAACACGAGGGCATGTATAAAAAAATATATCTTTTATTTTTATCCTTAAATCCATCCCGATGGTGCTATCGGCTGTTTGTCACAAGATGTCATATCCATTCGGATCTCTATGGCGGAGCAGTGCAACTATTTGTTTTAGACAATGGCACGCAGAAGCACATATCACAGCGCTACCTCCGAAATAACTTTGCTTAATCCCATCCACACATAACAAAACTCGACACATTTGGAAACAACACTTCCCTAAAATATATAAATACAATTGGCGACGTTTTGGGCAATGCCCCTTCTTCATAGCACATGGGCCAGAGAGATGTCATTAAAGAGCAGAGTAATGTTCACCGCATGAGTGTCAACACGAAGCATCCAAGCCATGGCGGCTCAGCTTTCTCACTCCCGCGGTGTCCAACCACCGCAAGTACACATTTACCAAGTGTACCCAGAGGCACGAGTCCACTGCACGATCGCGTATCAGACTCGTTGGGGACCGAGGTATGGGCAGATGTGTGATGAGGTCGGTTAATCTGCCGAGTCTGGTGTCCTCATTATTCCAAAGACCAGATTTTGTTCTATGGGAGACAAGAGATTTTTGCAGACAGGCTCCGCGATTGTGGAATTTCCTTCTTCGGTCCATTAGGGAATCCGAGTCCATTACACTTTTTAAATAACGTCTTAAAACTCCCCTGTCTTCACAGGCTGTCTCCACAACTTACGCTTTAACGTAAAGCGCTGAGGCCTTGTGCGAATTCCTCTCCAGAAAACTGTTTATTTTCAATGTATAATTCCAGTTCCACCAATGATTGTGCACCAATACTGCTGGACGTGGACGGTTAATGGGTCAGGGCAGCTACGCGACAGGTCGGACGTGCGACGTTTCACCACGCTGCTCACCCCCCCCCCCCCCATCAACTCAAACCCCCCAACAGTCGTTCCTGGGCCGGATCGTGGGGGGGCAAAACGCGCGGCTCGGCTCGCACCCCTGGCAGGCGTCGCTGCAGATACGGCAGCGATTCTTCCTGAGCAACGTCGTCTCCACCGTGCACATGTGCGGGGGGACGCTCGTCGCTCCATGTTGGGTGGTCACCGCCGCCCACTGCATCGGCACCACGTGCGTGACTCGCGAAGCGCAGATCCACGAGCCACACACGCACGGATCCACGAGCAACATGCACAAATGTATCGTGTTGACGATGGTGTTGTTGTTGTGCTTGTATTGATGTTGTGGCGGTGGTGGTGGTGGAGCAGCAAGACAGAGAATTTCCGGGTGAAGCTGGGTGTGGGGCGCTTGGACCGCGAAGTGGCCGGCTCTGAGCAGGGCTTCGACGTGGAGCAAATCATTGTTCACGAAGGGTGGGGGAAGGGACAGTACGAGCATGACAACGACTTGGGTAATCTCTATGACCCATCACATCATCTCTTCGTCATTATTATCACATCACCATGACCACCATCACCACATTACCATTATTATATTACCATAACCACCACCATAAAATCACCATCATACACCCATCCCCAAACCTGCTGTCACCATCATCACCACAAAGAATACTGTAACACGACTGCCACTGTTAGCAACATAGCGAATTATATCAAGACAGCTATGGATGCCTTAAACCTCCAACTTCTGTATTAACAGCACATCTGATAAGGACGGTTTGTTACGTACAGTGCAAAAGAAGTTCAACACGCACATATACGTAAATACCACCTCCATCACATTATTCAACATCGCTACCTCCATCAGCCACTCCATAAGTATTTCCACCATCACCACGTCCATCATCATCATCTCACTGCATTGTACTACATCTCTCTTTGACCCCCCCCCCCCTCTCTCCCGATATATCCCCTCTCGAATCTTCCTGTGCACCCCCCCTCCCGTCTCCCCATATCAATCTGGATTTCTCCACACCCCTGGACCGTACCTCCCCCACGTCTCCCCCCCCCTCCCCGTGTCCCCAGCGCTGATGAAGCTGCGAAAGGTCGGAGGTCACTGTGCGCAGGAGTCGCGCTACGTGCACACCGCGTGCCTCCCTCAACAGGGGGAGGCGCTGCCCGCCGACTACAACTGCGACATCTCGGGCTGGGGGGCCACGAGCTTCAAGGGAGGTGCGTGCGCGCGACGGGAACAAACGCAAACGTGGCCAGCTCTGGGCCCAGCGGACCTTCGACGCTTCGCCTGGCCCCAACGTGCACCTGGCTAGCCCTGGCGCATTTGTTTTTGGTTTTCGTTTGCGTGCGCGCACGCGCGAATGTAGCGGGCTCGCAGGAGCTGCTGGAGGCGCAGGTGAAGGTGATCGCCACTCCGCGCTGCAACACGCGCCAGGCCTACAACGGCGGCATCACCGCCAACATGCTGTGCGCCGGCAACTTCGAGCGGGGCGGCGTTGACACGTGCCAGGTGAGATGTGAACCGACGGGTGGCGTGCGGTGCACGATGCGTGCGTTTCGCGGTGTGCACCTGCGATGTGCGAACCCGTGGGGTGCGTTGCGTTGGTGTGAGATGCACAACCCGCAGTGGTGTGTGGTGGGTGGTAAGCAATGCAACGCATTGATGTGCATGCGATGTAGCAACCCGTAGTGCATGTTGCACATATGAAACACGCTGTGCATGGAGTGTGCGGTATATGTATGTATGTTGAGCTTTTTTGCACCGTACGTAGCCAAACGTTCTAATCGGAGGTGCGGGGGGAGACAACAAACTAAATACAAAATGCAGTGGTGTACGACGTGCGAGTGATTAACCGATGGTGCGGTGTGTGGACTCGTGGCGTGCGTGCAGGGCGATTCGGGGGGCCCACTGGTATGTCCGCGCCCTGGGGGTGCCGAGGGGGCGCCCCCCATTCACGTGCTGCACGGTGTGGTGAGCTTCGGCGAGGGGTGTGCCCAGCAGTACAAGCCTGGGGTGTACACACGTGTGTCGCGCTACGTGACTTGGATCCAAAGCAAAATCCGCTAGGCACACGCACGCACCGTTACACACAATACACACACACACATGCTCACGCATCCAACACTGCGGTCACAACGGCCACTATTCACTCTATAACGGTGATGTCGCAACAGCGTTTGTGCCAGGCTACGTGCACTGAGGCATGTAGCCTGGTAGCTGTACACACACCAACGCTCACAACACACTTCCATCCATGCGCATTCCACTCTGGCATATACAGGCGCGCACACACACAATCGTCAGTGCACAAACCGGTACAAACCAGTCCAGTACACATGCTGACACACCAACAAAGCTCACACAGCAATCTAGAAAATGACACGAAAACATCAATTCATCTGTTACAAGACTTGTCTCTATTGGTGCAGCGGTGACGTCTTGCTGACAGGTCACAGGCTGTATCCAACTTGCAAATTACACGGATTTTAATTCTAGTGATGTTCCATAACGGCTAGAAAGCTACAATTTGGCACAAATAATCAGGTCTATGCTTATAGATATATACATATGAAGCCAAAATACGTGGAAGTTGACTGCACCAACTCATCGGCCAGGGTCAGCCTAAAGTTCTACATTGTTTTAATGAATGTCAACTAAATAGTTACAAATATATTATTGCGAGGAGTATATACGTTGAAGCGTAGTACAGAACAATGGATTTTGCTGCACTCCCGGCTGCTGACAACGTAACCCTGCAGCATCAGACAGCACCTGCCTTATGCTTGGCGATCGCTCATCCAACCACTATCCAGGTTCAATCCTACTAAGCATCTGAGATCTGACAAGACAGAGCGCACGTGCTGCACGTGCGTTTGATCATAGGTCACACACAGCTATATCTGAACGCAAACACACCTTAATGCGTCAACAGACACACACCTAAGAATTCACACACGCGCACCAAACGCTGATATGTGGTTCGTTACAAAAATCCTGAACTAAAACTAACATGATCTTGCCAATGTCTGATTTTACATTTACCATTTGTGACACACAGTATAAACCGTACAATTATCGCAGACTGATTTTTGACTTTTAATTAAAAAACATTAACATTTCTTCCGCCCACCCCTCCCCTTTTGTTTTACCAAATGTGTGCTTTGTCATTGTGTATAGACTGAAGCCATTGAACAAACCCACCCATAACACGACCCTGTTGAGTCCACACACACACACGTGCATAACACCTGCACGGTTAGGCAGCCTGTTTTCTACGCCACCAGCTGCATGGCTAGCCCCCTTATTAGAGCTCATTGAGTAAGGTAGCTCAGCTACTCTCCATGGCAATTATTTAGAGCTGTGGTTATTATTAGGGACCATCAGTGGTGGATATAGTTCTGATACTCAATATTGCAGCCGCTTAGATTATTTTTAGAGATCAGCGATTACAGCTGTTCAGCGTTTTCACCATTATTAGATATGAGTGACAGTATAACGTTTCTACCCATGTCAATTATTCAAAAGTTTCACGTTTTTAAGAGATCATCAGTGATTAATACAACTCTAATACCCTGCGATGTAGTACTACAAATATTTGAAGACAACTGCTCAGTAAGTTCCACAATTATTCTGAATAATTTCTAAAAGTAGAACCATTATGCTAAACACATCGCAAATATTTTGTTATATTTCTCTTACTATGGCTCATCAGTGCAGTGTAGCTCTACTATCCTATTGCCATATGGCTTATTTTGGCTGTTAAGCAGACACCCTTTGTTCCTGAGTGGCCTATACACAGAAAATGGCAGACTCTTAAGACTTGAAAATAATCCAACTAACAACGTTCAATGAATAACAATGCCCATCAGCAGCAAACAAAATAAATAACAAGTGCAGGCTAAGCCAATCATGTCGCAAATTACATCTTAGCCCTGTGGCATTATTTGGGGAGGTGGGGGGGGGTCAGGGAATCCCACAATGCCATTCCTTGCAAACGAAGTAACGTGAGCACATGTGCAAGTCTACCCTGGCATAGCAAAGCTCAGCGGGGTGGGGTAACAATGGTGCGATGGCAAGACACGTCAGCGCGATGACATCATTCACCGGTACGATTACCGATGGGGCCATCGTGATTTTACCCAGAGCCCCCCCCACCCAGCAGTCAACAGCGACATGGTCCATGGAGAGAGAGACATCTCGCAAGTCCCGTCTAGTTATGGCGTGAGCTCCGACGGCGAGGAGGAGCCGTATACAGTAGTTGTGTACCGAAGGTGGGAGTTGGTTAATGCTCCGACTTATCACCATAGTGGGTCACTGTAAACGTGCTTTATCTATTAGGTTTGTAAAACACTTCTCTACATTTCCCTGCTCAAATAAGCAAATAGGAATGGTGCTCATTTTATTCGTCACACTGGTGGAAATTCCACATTCCCATGATGGTGGACAAGTCTTCCACCGTTGACTTCCCAAAAAGTGGTGCCAGTTTTCTAGTCCACCGGAAGAGATGATTGTAAAGTTTGGTTTAGCAGCAATTACCCCGACTCCCCATTTGGCTCACACTTAGCGCAGCCATCAATACAAAAATAAAAACGCAGCATTAAAATCCTGGCCATAGGGACCGGATAATTATGAAATAAAAATACAAGACTATAAATTACTTTGGCCTTCATCGGTGTAAAAATAAACGTCTTCACATGTAGTTTTTTTTCTTTACACAAATTAGGCTTCCTGGTGAGACGAGGGGGTTTGTGCCCGAGGCGTCGAGACAAGCGGAGCAACGGGTTCCGCCTCCACGCGGAGACCTTGGGGGATCGTCGTTGCGTCACTCACACACACTCGGGACTCCCGTGCGAACTTTTGCCCCCTTGCACCGCTTGAGAAGTGGCCAACTGTTAAGAGATAATTCCGCTTGAGGGGTTCTTGCCCTTTGCCTACGACCCAATCATCCAGTCCCACGAGGTCACAGAAGCGAAACAGGCTTCGGTGAAGACAGCGCTTGGATGAGTCACTGTCATGGGCACACTGTGTTGTCACGGGGCTTGTCAGGCTACGAGGGGGAATGCAGCAACATCCGTTGTTGCACTGCACTGACAAACTCACATATCTATGCTCATCTTCACCAATCTGTACTGACCAGTGTTGTTAAAATGGTCAAATCATCTACACAACCTGCCCGGCATGGGGGAGGCCCTTATCCAGCAGTGGACTCGCACATAAGGGTTATGAATGTACAAAGTGTTCAATGCAACCAGATCCTGCGATATAGCCCTGATCCTTGACCCATATCCTCCCTTCAATTAGAACACACCCTAGATCGTTTACCCATACCCTCTCTTTCTCAAAATATTCCTTTTGTTCAGATCCCTTTTTGCAGCTTTCCTGACGTTCATACTCTGGTTACTCAAACTTCAAAGAACTCAGTACTTCCCAAGTTTAAAGCCAAACTCCTGGGAAACTACAGTCCCGATCCCTCACCCAAGTCACCACACAGGGACTCAGTCCTGATCCCTGTACCAGTCCCAGCTTGGTACAGACCTTGAGGAATTAACTTCCAGCTCACACTATAGGTATTTACCACTGCCTGGCCACAGGCTCTCAAACACTGTCTACAGGTTCTGCCTTATTGAGGCTGTGTCCCGATTAATATATTGCTCGTGTGTACTGCACAGTGTAAATGGACAAGTGCGAAGTGCTGTGGGAGAGGCAGACATACACGTAAGAAAAATGTTCAGATAGCTAAGAGGCATGCGTGTCAACAAGCGCACATATGCAGACATGTGCTCCCTCACATCATAAACAAATATATCCCGTACAGACTTATTATAGACTGTACGGGCAAGTGCTGTTATAGCAAGCACCTAGCAAGGCCAACATGAGAGGGTGGTGTGTCCAAGACCACACCTGGCCGGACAGTAAGACGCACACACGGGGGTGGGGGACAGGCAGACAGACGCATGTCCTGTTAGACGGACAGACAGAGTAACACAAAGCCAGTCACACACACACACAAAGGAGACGGTCACAAACGCATCATCAACAGCGCCGCCGGTCACGGCGCTTTCTTCGTGAACTTGGGATTTCTGTCGAGCGTCATGCGGCCCGGGCTGACCGGGTCCCTCGTGCTCCGTGCTTCTACGTCGTCATCCTCGTCATCCTCCTCGTTGTTGAGAAGTGCGCGGCGAGATGCGCTGTGGTGCGACAGGTCCAGGTTCGTCGCACCACCACCGCCGCCGCCGCCGCCACTGGCATCGCTGTTCACATTCAGCAGGAAGATCCCGATGACGACCGTTCCGAAACCGCTCAGCATGGCCAGCACGTCCACGGCCCCAACGCCGCGCCACTCTGCATGCGACATGCGTTGTCACACATGCGCGTCACAAATGCGCGAGACGCACGCGGTACAGGCAGCGTCGCACGTGTGGCGCCATGCAAGGTACAGGAGTCGCACGCTCGCATTGCACGAGACTCGTGCGGGAGATGTGATGCGGGCGTCATTCACGCGGTACGTGTGGGGGCACGCGTGAATTAGGTACCGCACACGTGGCAGGCAGTCATTCGTACGACACACACACGTGGCACACTCACGGTGCACCGCAATATATACACACACACGGTACACGTGTCGCACGGCATACACGATATATGCGTGGTACACACACCGCCCCGTGGTACACACACCACACACGCGGCTACATGTGCCCGGGTGTCGCACCCTGGAAGAGGATGGCGGAGCAGATGACGACACAGGAGGTGAAGGCGACATAGTAGACGGGGGTCACGACGTGCGTGCTGAATGTGTCCAGCGCCTGCACACCAACATAAACAACATCATCGTCAACAATAGTGCTTCCAAACTGTGGTTGGTGGACCAGTGGGGATCACTGCAAGGCTGTGGGGAAGTCATTCGCCAAACTGTTGCAAGTGAGATTTATTTCGCAAAATACCTTTTTACTACATGTAGTTGTGGGCCCAGAAAGATCGGGAACCATTGATTCACACCAACATTACAACTATCTGCATTAGCATCACCATAATCAACATCATCTCGACGTCAACACCATCATAACATGCATGCAGTACCTGCACAAACATCTCAATCTTCATCACCATCTTTACCAACATTTAATTAATTTAAATTAACATTAACATCACCCTTGTAAAGCGCCTTAAATAAAGGTGCGATATAAATATAAGGTAAGATCACTACAACATATTTGCTAATTAAATGTGTCCAGCAACTAGCACCTACACCGTCACCAATACCATCGCCGCCACCATAAATATAATCTCTTTACCAAAATAGAAACCATTGTCGATCTGGGTGCAGTGATGGTCGGGATTGTGGCGATGGTGGCAATGGCAGCAGCGATGATGGTGGTGGTGCTGTCACCTTGTTGAGGTAGTTGATCTGGGTGGTGATGCAGGCGATCAGCGAGATGAGGAGGCCCCACGTGAGGGGCTGTGTGAACACGGACTTCCCCATGAAGAGCTCTATAGACAGCAGCGCATGCCCATACACAATCATACATACACACATTACACATACACATTACACACACACATATATATGTAAAAACTGGGTGGAGCAGTGGGACAATGGTTAGTGCCTTGCGATATTAACCCAAAGACTCAAGTTTTATTCACGGGTGATATATGCACCGGTCCCGGATGCCCCTCCTCACCCACCCCACCCACCCCCCCGTCTCACCAAACCGACAAGGCGTGGGCAGGCCTTAACCTAGCAGTGGATTGACAAAAGGGCTGTTTATTATACCGCTGTACATAACCCAGTGTTACTTCACTACTAAGCAGTGTCTGTGTGTTCTACCAACGTGTTATACCACGATGTGATTACACAACCCTGCAGCTGTGTGTTAACTACCTCGCCAGTAATATAGGAAGTTGTGGGTTCGATTCCGACCCTAACATCTGTTTGCATGTTCTCCCCACGGTCGCATAGATATTTTTTCCGGGCCCTCCGGTTTTTCCCTCCACATTCAGAAACATGCGTTTTAGAGTAATTGGCTGCTATAAATCTCCACATAAGCCAGTTTGTTGAACTACAATTTGTGACCAGGTCGCTTCTGACAAGGAGCTAGTGGGCCTTAGCTGGTTTAGAAAAAATAGTTTAATAGTTAAAACAACTATATCGTGTTATGCCCCTATCATACACGACTGTGTTATTGCATCTCGCTGTGGCTGTGTGTTACAACGCTACGTTGGTGCGCTACACTTGCGCCTCCGCGTCGCACCGCTGCGTTCGCGCCCCACGGTGTGGTGCCGCCCTCACCCTTGAGCACGAGCGAGAGCCCCTTGACGGAGGCGACGGACAGCGAGCCCACGGTGGAACAGATGAGGACGTAGACGAGGACGTTGCTGTTGCCGAAGCGGGGCACGGCGATCACGGCGAGGGCCACGGCGACGCACACGACCAGCACCGCGTACGTGATGAACGCTAATCACGGCAGCATCAAAAACGCAGCATCATCATTAATATCAACAGCATCTAAAACGGCGTTCCTCGTTATATGTCCCGCAGGCTTAAAGTGTCCCTCGGAGAGCCGAGGAGTGGCTGCCTCGCGCACACACCATGCCTTTCGTATTTATTTAACATTTATACAGTATCCCTTTTTTAATTCCCCTTTTCACGAGCTCAACTGTCAACTTCAAGTGGTTATTGTACTTCTGCCACCGATCAAATGAAACTAAACCACAACCCTACTCTTCTTATTGGTAAGCAGAAGTGCTTACCAATAAAAAGTGCGTCACAACCCAGATGACGCTGTCGAGCGTTTATGCAGTACAGCAAGTCCTTAAGGCGTGATTGTTCACACAACGCTATTTTATTTTATCAATTTATTATTTTATTCTCATTCTACGTGACTTTACCGAAAGAACCAAAGAAGAAAACGCATTCTTTCATTCGGAAACACTTTTAGCACAATACAGAACGCGCTTGTTATGACGCGGGACGCACAGTGTTATCACGTGGAACGCATGGTTTCTGAGCAGTTGACGACAAGCTACTTTCTTGAGCTGCACGGCCGAGCAATATGGTACAGTACGCGGAATGACGCAGTATGCGGTGGCATTCCCTCGGTGATTTGTTCCGCCATTATACTGTGTGCGTACATCATATCTCACCAAACTTGATCGTTTCATTATTTATGGGGAAACTGTTTTCGCTTAACGCAGTACTTTTCAGGAACGCATCGACCACATTAAATGAGGAATTACTATTTCTTAATTGGAACGACTGCAGTTCTGATTAAGCAGGAGACTGCTTAAACATTTTCACATGGAACGTCTCTTAATTCGTAAAAAAAAAACCCAGCAATAGCTCAAACTGAGGAGGATGCACACCCTTCAACTGAAGTTATCGAGATTTATCCCTGCCAACATATAAGCGAGTCTCCAATGCTTTCAGAAGGCAGTTTGAGGCAGACCGGAGGTCCTCAACCTACACAAGACCGAAAAAACGTGTGATGACAAAAAAATCAGTCGCTTGCAACTATCGGGACTCTACAGCTACTAGGCGATGTAAGGCTCTTGGTACGGATGTTTCCGGAGCTCTAATTACTAAGGGTACGTTAAAACAAAAATGTCATGGATGGGGTAGCTGTATGTGGTCCGATAAAATCCAGTTTCTGATGTGGTGGCCCTCCACAATATTTGTGTGGAACACCGACCTAAATCATCACTGGCAACAGCAACAACGCACACCATCGCCCCCTATTGTGAAAACTTGGCAGGACCCTCGGTGAAGCTTTCCTGGGTAAATGAAAGCATCATAACGATGGTGGTGTTGATGGTGTTGACGGTGTTGACGTGGGAGCTGGGTACCTGGGTCCTGTAAGTGAATCAACATCTCATTGAGCGAGGCCACCTCGACGTCCTGTGGAGCGTGGACAACCATCACCACCGCCCCTAGCACACTCAGCAGGCAGCCCAGCCGACCCAGGTGCTCCAGCCTCTCCCCCAGGACACACCAAGCCAGCACCGCCCTGTATATCACACCATTCCAGCCACACCATTATACAACCAACAGCTGCGAAAGAAGTTCAACATACATACACAACCTAACACCAACACACACGACACGAGCACCGCCCTCTATACCGCACCATTTCTGCCAGACCGCTATAGAGTATGGATTCCTGCAGTCATGAAAGCTTCAAATCCAGATTGATGTGTTGGAGATTGAGGAGAAGCGGACAAAGTGGAGGAAATGGAGGGATGTGTGTGTGTGTGTGTTGCCTCGTACCTCCGATTAACACTGTTGGATACGTACAGTGCGGAAGAAGTTCCACGTACATACAAGTGGATGAGGTAGTGGAAGGTTGAGACGAATGGAAATGAGGAATTGGATGAGGTGGCAGGCCGGTGCGCGGGAGGTGACGAGGCGTGGTTCTCACGTGACGAGGATGCTCAGGGCGCCCAGCGGAGTGACAAGCGAGGCCGGTGCAAACGCGTAGGCGGCGAAGTTGGCCGCCTCGCCCACCGCCACTGCAGCCAGACACAGGACGTGCGGCCGTTACACTCTGCTGGGGAAAGTGCGGCTGGGGAAAGTGCGGCTAGCGAGTGCTTTTAATGCCGGCATGACGCACAATGGGGTGGGTGGTGTGCCCGGATAAAAAAAAAAAAACATGCCCCACCGCCTTCGTGTCCCCAACGCTAATATTTAACCCACACCGTGTACTAATTTAAGGCTCAGTCGACTTAGGGGAGGGCCCAGGAGTGGTTCAGATATTTCGTCACCGATGTCGGCCTTGGTTGGGAATTGAATTCGGGGGACGGGGATCGTGGCGCAGCTCGTCAACTGCTGCGCCACCGCTCCCCCCAACATGCAGGGGCACCCGGGGACACCCATAGAGATAAACACAAGGATTCGCGAGGGCACGGAGATACGGAAACACGTGTAGGGTCAAAGAGACACGCGGGGAGATGCGCTTAGGAACACACATGTCGCGATACACAAAACTACACATGCGACGTTCACAGGCACACATGCGGCATACAAAAGAGACCAGCTAGACGCTCACGCAGCTAAACACACATACACCAGAACAACTGAAAACACAAACACGGACACATATGCCATACTCACGAGATAAGCACATACCACACACATCAGAACTCCCACATACACACAAACGATGCACACAGAATACGCGAGAACATGCACGATGCTAAAGATAGAAACACAAAGACATCCACAGGAGATGAATGTGGACAGACAGAGGCCCAACGTCGGACACGCGTGATATTGCAATGATACACACGAGACACACAAAACACATGCATCAAAACATGGGTACATGGAGGCAAACACACACACACATGGATGAATCCAGAGATACACAGGCACACAGACATTATAAAGTACAGAGACACACACACACATGCATGTACACGCTTGTTCGTGTAAATACCAACACTAGCAGGCGACTTCATATTTGTATTATTAGCAGATTTTATTCATATTAGTGGGTGTAAAATGCACATTCTTATGGAGATGTGGCCTCACTTGTTATAAGCCCTGCCCACCAGAGCCACTCCTTAAGGTAGGCATGACCTCCGTCACCTAGGAGACAGAATGCGTCAAATTGCAACACACAAGAACTCAATTTTGTGCGCTGTACATCACGTGGAACATGTTAACCAACCATGAGACGTGTGCAGCGTGTTTAACGACTTAATTTTCATGCCAACAGAGAAGATTGGTAAACATGGAAAGAATGGGTAACTATGGCCCACCACGAGGACTGGAGTTTAGGAAACCCTGCGATGAGGAAGATGTCGTAAGTTACACATAAGATAAATAGGAATGAAAAGAAGAGCAATATGCCCAAGTGGCCAGGTGGCTCAAGAGTCAGAGTGTTGAGCCGGCACCTGTGTTTGAATATGGGCAGCTGCCACTGATTAAACAGAGCTGTGAACGTCTATCAAACAATCTTGGTGTCCTACATCAAACTTTATCATTTAAGTCCCATGTCAAACGAACTGTGAGAACCTCTTTTTCCCACCTGAGAATCATATCCTGGCTCCGTCACATCCTAAACACTGCAGGCAGTGAAAGACAGATCCACGCATTTGCTTTTCCCGCTTTTACTGTAATGCCCTGCTTTTTGGAACCCCAAGAAAGCTCCTGAACAGGCTGCAGTCTGTTCAAAATCCGGCCGCCAGGGTGCTAACTGATACACCCTTTAAGGATCACATCACATATGTCCTCCTGTCCCTTCACTGGCTGCCTGTCCGTACCAGTATTGATTTTAAGATTCTCTTACTGGTATTCAAGGCGTTAAATGGACTTGCTCCTCCCTACATTCATGACCTCCTTCAGCCATATATTCCATCGAGATTATTAAGATCCTCGGATTGTGCATTGCTCGCTGTCCCACAGTCGAGGCTTCACACTTGGGGGTGGCGGTGCTTTTTGCAATTGTGGCACCAAAACTCTGGAACTCGTTGCCCTTCGAGGTCACGACTTCCAAGACACTGCAAATCGTGACTACAAACAGATCTGTTTAAAATGTCTCTCTTTAGCTACTTTCAAACGTCTTTCTTGATGTTAACTATTTCTGTCTTTTCATGCATAGCACCCTGAGAACGATTGTTTAAGTGCACTTTATATAGTTAAATTATTATTATTACTATGAAGTGTCGTGAGTTGATAGTCTCAGCCCAGCCACCAATGACGACAAAAAATAATGATCACATTAAATTTGGCTCAATTCATCTCTGAGAATCGTAAAATATCAGTTTGGCTGTGATGTATTGAATATTAGTCGACGTGCCAAGTCAGGTGGTAGAGTGCTGCCCACTCATGTGAGTGGACTAGTGTCAATTGAAAGGATCTCGGAGATAGCTCTGCTATATCTGCTTCTGGGGGCCAATAAATAATACAAAGGGTTCCACAGCTCTGACAGTTCCAGATGGATGTCACCTTATGACAACAATTGGGAAAACAAGTTGGAAAGAGACAAAACATTCGAAGTATAAGATACAAAACTATATATATAAAAAAGTAATACAAGTTAAAACAAATAGGCAAGAGAATAAGGAACATAAGAGAGGAAGGGAAAAATAAGATGACAGTAACATTGATAAAAATTGAGAGCGCTGTCCGACATTCACAACCACGTCAGTCTGACAATCTCACGTGGCAGCCAATGGCAGCGCGCCTTACTGACCGGCGCGTGTAGAGCCAGCACGAGCCAATCGCATGAGGCCTTTCTTCTTGAGGATGAAGCTGACACCGATGAAGATGGTAGAGGCGAGCGCCAGGCCCAAGCCCAGGAACGCCGAGTTGTGGGGCCTCATGTGTTCGGGAGTCATGGCCATGGCAGGGATGGCGGTTGAGCTCCAGTTGCCGGTTCCATTGTTGGGGGAGCAGAGGAACTGGAGACCTGATGACGAGCATAGTACAGCCAAAGGAGGCCCTAGAGACACATGGTGAGGATGGGGGGTGGGGGGGAAATTGAGATACAAATGAGATACACATGGGAACACATTAGCCGAGCATAGGCAAGCACATAAACTTTCATACCTCTTCCTTATCATCTCACTCTACACACCCCTCCAAGCAATCTCCAATCGCTCCAATCTTCTTCTCACCAACACCTCTTCGCATGCTCTCCTACCTATCCCCGTCTCATTTCACACTACTCCTAACAATCAAGGCCTTCTTTTTAAGGCCTCAGCCAACCTTCGCTTAGTTACAGGTCACTCATTCGCCTCTGCTGCCCGAAAGGTCTGGAACTCCCTTCCCCCAGCCACCCGTACCATCAACCCCCTTGCTCCTGTTCAAATCCAGGCTCAAGACGCTCCTTTAATTGTCTTCTGCCTGTGACTCACTGAGCCGCTTCGATAAAATAAATACGCCCAAAAATTTCTGTGCGGCATTTTTGAGATGCCGTTGGATTAGAAAGCAGATTGTATTATGTTGTATTGAGGTGGATGCCTTGTGACTCGTCGGTCCTGCCCTGGCTGCTCCAACACAGCGAGGCACATTGCAGTCGAGCACAAGTTCACTGGGAGAAGCAATAGCATTCAAAAAGTGCGCAGAGAATCGCAACGACACACCTTATTTTAAAATAGATTTATATAGTGCCTTATCACAAAATGTTTGACAACAATTATAAAAATGTACAAAGATGACAGTGATTGAATTAAAGAGTGGGGTTATTAAAAGTGGTGGTGTAGTTATGAGGACAGGTGGGAGTGGTTAAAGAGGGGTTCGGGGTAGGCCTGGTCATAGCTGGGGGGGGGGGGTGTGCAACATTCTCAATCAAGCAATTTGTACGATGCGCGAGAGAGAAGAGATGGATTTTATGGGAGGAACGGAAGCAGGTCAGTTAAAACGACATTTACCCAGGAAAGCATCTAAAGACCTTGCGGGATGTTTGACCGACTAAGTGGCAGTGGAAAGCTGGATTCAACGGTAATGGATAGCCAGGCCCCATCCCCCATCCCCGCCAGATTCCTCCACTCCTGCACACCCCTACCAAAGGGCACATGCCCATCCATTGTACAACATTTAAATGTGTTCAGCCGTCGAGGCAGAGCTGTCCTGAGTGTACGGCAAAATCTGGGCGACCGCCCCGGAATCCGTGCTTTGGAGGGGGGCCCCCACACCCCCACTATAGACAGGCCTGCATCGAGGGGTTTTCTAGACACAAATATACATAAGACGTGTAGACACAAATATACACAAGACGTGTAGACACAAATATACACAAGACGTGTAGACACAAATATACACAAGACGTGTAGACACAAATATACACAAGACGTGTAGACACAAATATACACAAGACGTGTAGACACAAATATACACAAGACGTGTAGACACAAATATACATAAGACGTGTAGACACAAATATACACAAGACGTGTAGACACAAATATACACAAGACGTGTAGACACAAATATACACAAGACGTGTAGACACAAATATACATAAGACGTGTAGACACAAATATACATAAGACGTGTAGACACAAATATACACAAGACGTGTAGACACAAATATACACAAGACGTGTAGAGCAGCCGCTTATTACGTTGATTCTGCGTGTGGGAGGAAACTGGAGTGAGCATAAAAGCCAATGTAAGGAAGAAGATTACCCTCCCAAGATTTTCAAAAAAAATTATGTCAGCAGCCTTTTTGTTGACGGTTCAGATATCGTGTGTGCAGAGGCAACGGTGTACACAGGCAACCCAGGTTGTAAGCCTCATAGAACAGAGCAAATCGTTTGAACACTGACAAATAAACACATTCAATGAGACATGAAGCAAGCCAACGTGACAATACATTAATACACAGGCAATGACGCAAAGACAGCCCACATGTACACAAAATGAAACTCATACACAGAATGACATAACCGACACACACGCAACACATTAATATACACACACACAATTACATACTTGAAATACACTTGACACCCACTAACACGTACCCTACCATAACATACACACACACAAAGAACAAAACGCACAATAACATACACAAACGCACAAAGACACACACACATTTATACACGACATTATGACGTGACAAAGGACCTTGGACTCCGTGCCTCCCAGAGCTATCACATGGGCCAAATGCAAATACCAAAGTACGCCCCCTCTTCCCAACACCTGCACGACGTCACTTTGTCACACCACACTCACCTGAGTCACCACACTCACCTGAGTCACCACGCTCACCTGAGTCACCAAACTCATTCGCAATGTGTACTGTCAATCTAATGCTAGGTAAGGGCCTCCACACGCAGCGTGGGGTCATGAGATTTTCCAACTATACTTCACCGTTCTGGTCAGTGCAGGTTGGTGAGAGCGGGGAACGTAGATGTGACCGCTTAAATGTGCGATACAACAATGGATCTTCCTTCGCCACCTTCTGCTGCCCAGTACATACCCCACCACTACACGCCCCAACAACCTATAAAACACCTATCATGCATGTTAACATAAAACTGCACATTTTCTTTTGGGACCGTGTTATTTCTGACTGTGATGAGTTTCGTTGCATTGTGCTTGTACACAACTGCCAACGCAGCACCACCAAATAATTTGTCATGCACTGTCCAGGCTCAATTATGCTTAGCGATTGAGATCTGACAACATCGGGTGCATTCTGGGCGATATGCTCATGGGGAATCGCTGTAGTCATCACTACAATGCCATGCACCACATCGAGCCAAACTTATCGCAACGCCGAATCCCACGCACCACATTACCACTCTCACGAGAACACGGCGCACACACACGGCAATCTCAATGGACACCACCCGATTGGACATCTGCGAAAAAGAGCGTCATAGTGCATTGGATTCCACCAGTCTGAATAAAGATTCTGACCATTCAACACAATCACTATAGAACCACACATACACACACGTTACCGAACCCACCACACTCGCCACCATATCCCACCACAAAATTTTAAGAGGGATTCATTTTAGGCTGTGTTAACCTATGTTATGGCCCAGGCCAGGTTAAGTGGCTGGGATGATCGGAGAAGTGCAGTCTATTATGCACTACACACCAGCACAGACCACTCGCAACGTCTCAATGAGTCAAGACCGCAGAGACATTTTTAGGAGGTGCTGCCTTGGATGTTTGGCCAATTCTATTATTAAGAGTGTCCTGTGTAGAAAGAAACCTGAGTACCCAGGAACAAAACAATGACACGTGAGAGTAGATAACACCAAAAATGCATCCTACGCGTGTCAGTATACTGTACTGTGTATAAGTGCAGGCAAGTGTTGCGATGTACACAGATGTTTGAAGGGATTGAGTGCACGTGTTAACAAACACATAAAATGCACGGACTGTGGGAAGGGCTGCGTGCAGGTGCAGCACTTGTCGTAGTTATAAAAAAAAGAGAGAGAGTGAGCGAGAGAGAGCAAAATGGAGTAGGAAGAGAGGGGGCAGAGAGAGAGGTGGGGCAGAGAGGGGGGTAGAGAGAGAGGGAAGGGGTAAGGAGAGCAGAAAAAAAGGAAATATTTTGTTGGGTCTTTCATTTAAAAGTGGGGGGGGGGGGGGGTTTACATAAAGCAAAGCATAAAAAAACAAAAAAAACGAAATGATCGTAAAAAAAAATAGAGAGGACACAAAGGCACACTGCCGACATCATAAAGCCCATGAATCATTCAAACGCACCGCACATTCACACCAACATCCCCCATATAGCCTCAGCAGACGTTTGAGGCAAGTGACGTTAGCGAGCACCTATGAAGGCAGGCACCGCACACGAACGGGTGGTTGGCCAGCACCATGCCCGGCCACCTTGTTCTCCCCAGTGCTGATGTTTACACACCGCACCAGGTACTCATTTAAGGTTGAGTCGAACTTGGGGAAGCCCAGGACTAGTTCAGAAAATCGTCACTGGTGTCTGCTGTGAGAGGAAATCGAATTCGGGTCGCCGAGTTATTATGGCAGTCTATCCCTAGGACAGCCACTGCCGACTTCTCCACAAAGTGGTACTCGTATGTTTAGTCCCCAGAAGGATCATCGGCTGAGTCAACCAGCAACCAGGATTTGAACTTGCAACTTTCCGATTGTAAGCAACTTGGTCTACCATTTGCGGTACAAAGAGGTGGTGGCGACGCACGCCTGTAACCTAGCACTGTGGAGGTGAGGATTGGTGGATCACACAATTGTCGAGGTAACCATATTATGGCTCGCCAGGAGAAGGCAGTACAGCAAGTTGACAAATCGCCATCTGTTTCCATCTGTACGGGGATTGAGTGTTGCTCCCTCGCACGTGTGGGGTTTCTCCGACACGTATAAACAGTCATTCATTGGCTGAAAACATCTCAAAATAAAAACCCAAATCCGGATCCTCCTGAAAAAGAGTGACGACCCAGTGTGCCTCTCCTGGCTAAACAGGTAAATGATTACTTAACTGATAATTATAATGAACACGTTAATAAATTTTACGTTCCAATTATGTTATTGTATGTATGTAAAACTTATTTCGCACAGTACTAGCCAATGGTGCTAATCGGAGGTGCGGGGGAAGGAAAAAAACGAAACACAAAAAGCAGGTCAATTTATTACCGCCGAGCCACCTGACCAGCTTGACACGCACACACTTGCACGCAATCTTATCTACGCATGCACAGGCTCGCACTTGCACACGCTACTACCACGCATGCGCCCACAAAAGCACGCACATGTATGTACAGAACACACATGTGGATTGATACACAATCCTAATACACTCCTATAATCTACACCAGGGGTGGGGAACCTTTCTTTCTGCCAAGGGCCATTTAGATATTTAGAAGATCATTCGCAGGCCATACAAAATGATCAACTTAAAAATTAGCCTGTTATATTTGGTCAAACATTTAATTAACTCAGCCCTAATGCGATGGCTGGAACTACTTCTCTTCGGCGAGGCTTGTGATGATGTTAGCTGGT